AAAAAAAAAAAATTTTTTTTTTTTTTAAGAGACAGGGTCTCACTAAGTTGCCCAGGCCATTCTCAAACTCCTGGACTCAAGCAGTCCTCCAATGTTAGCCTCCTAAAGGGCTTGGATTACAAATGTGAGCTACTGTACCCAGCCACAAGAGAATTTCATTTAAAGTTTTCTTTGTCTTGATTTGAAATCATGGAAGAAACCATGTTGTTAGTTTATTTTTATATTCTTGGTAGTAGAGATAGTTGAAATTTGCAGTTAAATTTTTATTTATTTATTTTTTTATTGAGACAGTTTCACTTTGTCACCCTCGTTAGATGCCATGGCATCACAGCTTAGAGTAACCTCACACTCTTGGGGTTAAGCAATTCTCTTGCCTCAGCCTCCCAAGTAACTGGGACTACAGGCACCTGCCATAACGCTGGGCTATTTTCTTGTTGCTGTTGTCATTGTTGGTTAGCTGCCCCAGGCTGGGCTGGAACCCGCCAGCCATAACTATTGTGCTGTGGGTGCTGAGCCTTTTTGTTTGTTTGTTTGTTTAGCAGGCCCGGGCTGCGGTGCTGAGTTCAAGCCTACTAGCCCCAGAGCATGTTGGCTGGCGCCCTAACCACTGAGCTGTGAGCGCCCCATGTAAAGTTTTAGTTTCTTTTTTTTTTTTTTTTTGATCAGGGCTGGGTTTGAACCCACCACCTCTGGGATATGGGGCCAGCACTCTACTCCTTGAGCCACAGGCACTGCCCCAAAGTTTTAGTTTCTTATTTTATACTTCACAGTTATGACCAAAGAGGCAATGAGTATTTAAAAGGCCACAGGGTTTGAAGGATAAGGACCCTTTTACGTTAATGATTAGGAAACTGGATTGATCAACTTACACATAATCAAGAGAGCTAAATATAGGTTTAGGTTCATACACAAACAAAAATTGTGGACATATTATAATTTATTGTTCAGCCTTTTTTTTTTTTTTTTTTTTTGAGGCAGTCTCACTATGTCACTCTTGGTAGAGTGCCATGGTGTCAAGCTCACAGTGACTTCAAACTCTTGGGCTTAAGCGATTCTTTTGCATTAGCCTTCCAAATAGCTGGGACTACAGGCACCCACCACAAAACCTGGCTATTTTTAGAGGTCTCAAAGCTTAGGCAATCCACCAACCTCGGCCTACCAGAGTGCTAAGATTACAGGTGTGAGCCATGGCGCCTGGCCTATTCAGCCTTTTTGACTGAGCCTTCCATGTTTTAGATTTAAATTCTAGCTGCAGACTTCTGTCTGAGATGGTAGGTAAGTGATATTCACTCATAATTTAATTCATTTACATAAATTTCCCCTTGAAAATATTGAACAATTAAGGTCCTTTTCACCTTGAAATCAAGGTGAGCAGGAAATTAAATGAATTAAGTCCATATAATGACATAAACCTATGTTTGAATAGATTCTTTCTCAGTCCCTTCCTTCTAAGTCTCATTTTTTCTTTTCTTTTTTTTTTTTTTTTTTACCTGAGCTTAAGTCTCATTTTTTCTTTCCAGGAAAGACACAGATGAAGCAGACTTGGTTCTTGCAAAAGAAGCTAATGTGAAATGTCCACAAATTGTGATAGCATTTTATGAAGAGAGACTGACATGGCATGCGTACCCCGAGGATGCGGAAAACAAAGAGAAAGAAACAGCAAAGAGCTAAAGGAGGGGGTGGTTTCTGTCATTTCTCTTTGTACATAATACATTCACCCTCCCCTTCTACCCCACCCCCTTCTATCCTAAACACATCCATAAAAAATGTGCTTATCACTGTGCTCCACAGGAGAAATGTTGGTATTGGTTCTCTTGTAACATAACCGATGGTCTGATCCATGATAAGTGTATCTCTGTGAAGACCAGGCATTTACATACTGTGTGTAATTCTCACTTTTTTTTTTCCTTTGCCCTGATCTCTTCCTTCTGCTCCCCTGTGACCTCAAGATGCATTTTAAGTTTTTATTCCCCTTAGAGTCTTGATCTTTTCAGGGTTGGTCGATTTCTTTTAGATTTGGGGATTTTGTTATAATGATGAATTTGGGTTTCTTGCTTTGGTTCTTAGAACATGGTGATGATCAGCTGGCCTTTATTTTGACATGTTGAGATGGAAAGGATATTGCCCATATTTTAAAAAGCCAATACCAATTGCTTACCTATTGGGGCTTTCCCAACCTTGTTCAGCTCTACCCAGGAGAATACAGGGTTTCTGATGTGGTCTTTGGCGCCATCCCTGTTGTTCATCCTCACTTATCCTCCCAGAAAAATTCCGTCCATTGGAGGACTTGAAAATTTACACTGAAATTGGTTAAGGCACTCCTTTTAGCCCCAGGACCTTTGGCCTTGTTCTTAGCAATCCCTGATTCTGCTTCTGCAAGGTGGTGTCAATTTGTCATAAAGGACAAAATTATTAACTGTGGAGATTTTTAGCTGTAGTACATGAGGATGATGGGGTAGTGGTAGGATACAATTGTCTTTATTATCATATGTGGTATGTATGTATTATTTCTTTCCATCCCTGATATTTAGATTATATATTTTATGTAGGTGTGAGTGATTGCCTGGTGCTTGCTTGTGCCAAGGTGCTAGGCACCCTCCAACCCTGCCAACTATTGTGGCCTCCCAAAGCATTCCTGTTACCAAAGAGGCTTCAAACCTGACCCTCACTTCTCAGTGACCCACTTTTCTCTCCTATGCCATTAGTTTCAGTGGGGAATTTTTGGAGGGGAGCCATTGGCCACAATATCAATTTTAAATATTCATAACAGTTATAAGTCTCCTGCTTTCTTAACTCCTGGATTTGTATCGAGTCCCCACAGTATTAATGTGCTTTCTTTTTACCACCTTCAAACTTGTAGTTGTATCTTATTTTTTAGAATGTATTTTCATGAAAGAATATCACTTCAAGAAGTGACAGGCCCTGGCATTAGCATGTCATACAACCTTCTCTTCCTACTCAGCAAAATATTTTCCTTTTGTTTTCTTCTGTAGTATTGAGAGGTTTTTCTGATTATCTTCTTCTGCCTTTGTCCTTTACGAAATACTCTACTTTTTATCCATTTCTTCTTATAGTTGAGGGGGGCTAGAGAATCAGGACTAAAAGTAAGGAAATAGCAGGGTTTTGAGCATCCTTGTCCCAGCCCCAAAGCTGAGGAAATAAGAATAAATGCTTGAAGTAGCCTTAATTCTAGAGTTCACCAGCCATTGAGGCTGGTTTTGTTGTTGCTTTGATTTTTAAAACATATAGCTGTCTGGCCAGGAGCATTCAACCATTTCTAGATTATTCAGAGTAATTAGGAGAATGGATGGATTGCTCTAGTCCACAGATGAGCCAAATAATATGCAAATCACACACCCATTCATAGCATTTGTTACCATTGCTTCCCTGCTCAGCTGCTGATTGAATTCTATGTGCTTGTATAAATTATGTCAAAAATTATACTGCAGTTGAGAAGACAGCTGTTGCTGCAGTGACATGACAGAATGAAACAATGAAGCTTTTGGTTTAAGTCATCCAAGAAAATCCTTCTGAATGGTAATGTGATTGGGGGACAGCTCATAATCCATATCTCAAGTAGGTGGGAGTTTTATCTGTATATTCTTTTGCTCTCTGAAGGAATTAAAGGCATAGATCAGGTACTGGATAATTGACAGTTGTTTGTACTTAACCTGATGGGCATCTAAAAGAAAGAAAGGATGATCAAGAAACAGATTTGTCATACAAGTAACAAAGGATATCAGTTAGGGTAACCAAGAATAGGACAAAAATAGGCCAGAGCTCCTGGGGAAGTGATAATGGGTCGCAGATTTGCAGCTGGAGAAAATGATAGCCAATTATCCAAGTAGCCAGTGTTTGCATCCCAGTAGCAGTGGGTATGTAAACTGAATTATATATTTAAAATCAAATATCTAGGATGGGAATAAAAAACACAATAATATTTGGTACTTGGATTGGTCCAGAGAAGCCTGAGATACATGGTTGCTGTGGTTATAGGTAATATTTAAAACATCCATCTAAATCTAATTTTGTTTTACCAAAATACCTACATCTACTTTATCACCCCTTTAATACTTCTTACTCTGTCTTTTTCTGTCAGTTTATTGAATCATGCTCTTATACTAAATATTCCCAAAACAAGTTTTGTTCTCTCCCTGCTACCCACAGCTGGTTCCTTAGGGAGTGAGGCCAATACTGACTAAAGCTCTTAGCACAAAGGAAGTAAGATGCCTGCCTCTAGAATTGTTAGTGCCCAGTAACTGTCCTTGGTCTTGGAGAATTGCAGCCTCAAACAAAAACTTGTTTCACAGAGATTTCTCCCCTCTTTAAAGAGATAGTAGCCATGGGCAAAGCATTGTGATGGCTGGGTCTCAGGTGCTTAGTGCCTATTTTTCTCGTGTTTAATCCTCTTTCAGAACATCTTTCTAATGTTAAATTTCTTCCAGTAGTCAACATTAAATGATCTCCCTTTCTGCAGTTTAGGAGAGCTTTGTTCAGTAGAGTCAATCAAAGACAGCTTAGCAGCTCTTCCAATCCCTGAGCTAGGCAGATGTCCTTAGGTTAAGATCTATGGTAGGAAAAGTCAGCCTGGATGGAAGCACCTATTTAAACTTGGAGAGATCCATATTTTTTTCTCCTTCAAACCAGTTTTTGTCTGCTCTAGGGAACATTTGGACCTGTGGTGCTTCTAATATTTGAAAATCTAAGTGATCCTTGGCTATCCCTCAACCATACTACACATTACTTTGTGTAGTTGCTGAAGAGTTGGTTCTGTTCTGATAGCTTAGGCAATTATTCTTAACGCTTCATTCCTGTTCTGTAGCTACCCTGCAGTCCATTTTCCTTATTATTCAGGCCAAATTGCAGGGCATTGGTGAAGATTATTGGGATTTTCATCTTCAGATTTTTATAGGTCTATGATTTAGCCCAGCTTGCCTAAGGTACTGTGAGCATCAGAAAGATCTATGTCTGGGCTGGGGAACAGTTGTCTTAACCTTAGTGTTCAGAATTGAGGACCTAAAATAACCCTATTAGATTTGAAATGAGAAAAAGTTAGGTTAAAGAAAAATCTCATTAAGCACACATGACCTCATCTTTTTGATTGATACTTTTAAAGTAAAAATGATAGTGTTGAGGTGTATACTTTTGTTACTAGACCACCAAACATGGTCTGGCAAGCCAGAGAGAGGGAAAGTCTAGAGTAAATAGATGTATTGCAATTTCATGCTGACTTCACCCAACTCTGTTTTTAGAAATAGAGATGTTACCAGACTTACACCAAAAAGCATAAGGTGTAAATTAGGTGCCTCTTCTGGCCAGTTTGTGTTAAGCTCTCCAAATTCCAGCCACATTAGTGCACCTTAGCAGTGATTTCACTCAACAGGTTTTTTTTTTTTTTTTTTTTTGCTTGGAGATACAGAGTTCAAAAAGAGGCCACCCCTGCCCTCAAGGAATTTTCATACTGGTTATGATGAACTGACCCTTAATAGTTTGGTATAATAAATGCTATACACTGGTGTAAATTTCTGGTTTAGGGGCAGAGACAACTGGCTGATACTGATAATGGTTTGTGGCCCTGGAATAGGAGAGTGATGTTATTTTTGGTTAATGTGTAGAAAAGACCTGTGACCTTGGGGGAACTAAGCTCACTAGCCATGGAACACAGAAGGGCTACTTTTATTGCAGGAAGTAAATGTAATGTTACTGAGAGAAAACAGGTGAGTTGAGATTAAGAACTTCCTGGTTTTGGTCCCTGGTTTAGATTTTGCCAGAACAGTTAGTAGTAGAGTTAATCCTTCTGTGTGGAAAACATTAACTATGTTGCAGATCAGTTGTATGTTACACTGTTGTGGGTTCTGTAACAACATTTATTCCTCATGGACATTGTCAGAATTGCTTACACTTTTTCAGTTTCTCATCCCTTTTGGAGGAATAAACATGAAGCTAGCTTTATTCCTTAAAATAGGGACATACTTTCTAATGACAAGAGATTTGCTAAAAAGGTTTGAAGCCTATCTGTTAATACCTGAGCATCTGCAGGTATTATTCAACTCAACAAGAGAGAGTGATTTCTAAGCAAGAACTTGTATCAGAACTTGTATCAGTTATATGGAAACCTTTTCCAGAAATACACCTAACCCGTCTATTAAATCGGCATCTCAGATTTAAGCAGACCGTGGAGTGGAGGTCTGGAGCGAAGCCTAGCTTGGTTAAGAAACAGTCTGACTGTAAGAAAGTTGTCAGTTCTGACCCATCGGACCCCAAGAAAAATCTGTTTATTTCTGCATGGATAATTGAAAGTTGCCTAGCTTTGGAAGTCAAAATTCCCAGGAATTATAGTAATTCTTCTAGGAAATTAAAGTATGAAGTTTTTAAGACAGTTTCATTACAGAAAAAAATTCTGGTTTCTTTTTGCTTTTGCTGAATTTCTTGAATTTAATCTACCTCATCTTGGCTTTTTTGGAGTTTTTCCACTTCTTGCCAGTTTAACATCATGCTTGACTTTGGTTTTCTACGTTGGAATTTTTTTCTATTCATTGATAGCTCATTCTCTTGCTTTTTCTCCTGATTTCTCCTTTCATTTGACATCATCTCATATTGCTCCTCTGTCAGAGAAACATTTTAAAATAGTTTAAAGTCCTAATTTATGGGAAAAAAGTGATCCTCCAATGCTGTTTGTCTCTGAGGGTCAGGAAGAGAAAGAGTTAAAACAAGGTGGTGGAGGGGATGAATCCTACACTGGAGGCAAAAAGCTGACAAGGAAAGAGCCATTAATTAAGACAATTTCAAAGTCAACCAATTGTGATCGTTAATGTCACAATAGATCAAAACCTAATTATCACAGCCTAGGTAAGAGCCATCAGTATTAATCGGAAAATCTAATAGGAAACTATTATCAAGAAATTAGGCCAGATTGAATGCAGTGAACTTTTTATCTTGTCCTCCTCTCTGTCTCTTTTTGTGATGTCCC